CAACCCAAGCCTCGGAGTCCCTTGCCCTTGCCCTTGACGAACCAGGGCATCATCATCATCGGAGGGTAGCCCCAGCCTTCAAGGCACTTTAAAGGGGTTTAGGGTTTAGGGTTTAGGGTTTAGGGTTTAGGGCACTTTAAAGCGGTTTTTGGCTTTGGGGCTTTAGGGCTTTTGGGATTTATAGGGCTTTAAGATCTTGGGTTTTTTTTGGGGTGTAGCGCCAGCCTTCAGGGCACTTTAAAGGGTTTTTGGCTTTGGGGCTTTAGGGTTTTGGGATTTATAGGGCTTTAAGATTTTTGGGGCTTTTTTTGGGGTGTAGCCCCAGCCTTCAGGGCACTTTAAAGGGGTTTAGGGCGTAGGGTCTAGAGCTTTCGGGCTTTAAGGTTTTGGGTTTCTTTGAGGGGGTAGGCCCAGCCTTCAGGGTTCAGGGGTTTGGGACTTTAGGGTTTGGGGATTATAGGGCTAGAAGATTTTGGGGCTTTTTGGGTGGTAGCCCCAGCCTTGAGGGCATTTTAAGGGGTTTAGGGCTTTTGCAGTTTAGGGTTTAGGTGTGTTTTGGGGTGGGGGGGGGAGGGGGTTTACAGGGTAGCTCCAGTTTTCGGGGTTCAGGGCGTTGGGGCTTTAGGCTTGTAGGATTTTGGGGTTTAGAGGGCCGCAAGGTTTTGGGGTTTTGGGTTGTAGGGTTTGGGGCTTAGGGCTGCAGGGTTTGAGGCACAAGGCAAAACAAAAGGGCACTGTACTCTTAGAGTGCAGGGCATCCCTGGAACTTGCCGGGAAGCTACTTCACTTTACAGGCTGCGTCCCCAACCCATAGACCCGAAGCCCTAAACCCCAAACCCTAAACCCTAAATCCTCAATCCTCAACCCTCAACCCTCAACCCTAAACCCTAAACCCTCAACCCCAAACCCTAAACCCTAAACCCTAAACCACAAACCCTAAAGCGCTAAGTTGCGACTTAACGATCCAAAGTCTGGGCTCCACGAACCCCACACCCTGCACGAAAAACCCGACTGAAAGGTCCCGAGGCGGCCTCCCCAGTAGCCCTTGCCATAGCCCTTGCCGGCGCCCTTCTCACCCTTCTCGCCCTTCTCGCCCTCACCGGCGAAGCCCATGGTGCCAAGAATGGCACGCTTTGGAGAGTCTTTCTGTATGTTTTGGGCTTCTGTGCCCAATGATTACAAGATCAAATGCGGCATGTGACCTGCACCATGCACAAGGAGCAGTGGCACAAACAAACACTTTCCGTTTGAGCCCGAAACCGCGGAAAAGCGCAGTGATGTACAGGCCTGAATAGTTAGACCATAATATGGAGTTTATCGCAACGCCACAAACTCTGAACCCTAAGCCCTAAGATGCCCATACTTTGTTCTCTAAACCCTAAACCCTAAGATCCCTAGAGTAGCAATACGCGGAAAGATGCGCAGCCGAGCCGGCCCAAACTGGGAATACACTCAAAGCCCATCTAGAGTATAGAATTTAAAGGTTTTAGATATGGCGTGAAGGATAGAAAGGGTTCTGTGAGGGCTTATGGGGTTCATGAAGTCCGGAAGGGTTTTGGAAAGGCTTACGAGGTTCTAGCAGGATTTTGTCTGTCTTTCTCCTGTTTTCTGAAAGTTTTGAAAAGAGGTTCAATACGGGTCGAATGGTGTTTGGGTCTACGGTAGTTTCTAGATTAGAGTACCGTTTGTTCTGTAACCCTAAACCCTAAACCCTGAACTCTAAACCCTAAACCCTAAACCTTTTCTTCTGTTGAGGAGCCGTAAAAGGTGCCCAACTTCAGAAACCCAAAAACTCTAGAACTGTACATGAAACTATTATCGGTTGTGACTTCTTGATAGGGTTCCTTCAAGGGTACTATAAGGCTTCTAGATGATGTTCCGTAGAGGGGATTTTGGTTCTATTCGGGAAGCCCAAAACCCCTGTTTTTGCCTGACATTTTCCAAGCCAATAGCAAAAGGTTCTGAGCACGGCTATTCAAATCATAGCTGCCGGAGGGGAACCGGTCGTCCAGATGAGAAAACCACCGATTTTTGAGCGTAGATGCTGCAGTCAAAACTCGCATTCAAAACTCCCCTCCTGGCCCTTTAGGATCAATCATATGCTGAATTTGCCCTGCTTCAGGCAGCTGGTGTCTCAGGCGTCTTGCGCTGCCAGACATCAACCTGGACAGTGTGCCGCTGTGCGGTGCGTGTGTGTGTGTGTGTGATCACTTATTCTCTCTCTCTCTCTCTCTCTCCCCCTCTCTCTGTATTATGAGCAACACAAAAAACTATCATACCCTGATACCATCAACGCCCTTATATCGCAACAGCCTAACATGTTTCTTCAAGAAGGACTATGGTACATTATATGCCACGCTTTCTGTTTCACACCATAGCCCGAAGCCCTGAAACCCTAAATCCCCGTCACCCACACAAATCCCGCGAACTCCCTAAACATCCAATGCCCTTGACCTAGAACACATGACTGAAGTTACAGACGGGTGTTTCTCAACATCACGCGCACCCCTAATGTAGGGGCCTTAATAACTGGAATAAGGCTTTGGGGGTTCTTACTTTAATGAAAGTATGATATACCCCCAAACCCTATTCTGATATTTAAGGCCCCTATACCCTACACCCTAAACCCTAAAAACCGCACCCCTACCTCCTGCAGCTGCCAAGGATCCTGTGTGGGGTTTTCTGTAAGCCCTGATGTGGGTAGTTCTCTAAATTAGCGTCCCTTTTTAGGTCCCCAGTATAGCACGGCACCCTTATAAAATGGACCCTACAAATAACCCTAATTGCAGAGAACTACCCACGTGACGATCTTTAAGGGTGCCTCGATCCAAAGACGTGCCTTGACAGTGAATCCGATTAGGATTTGGGGCTCAGGGCTTATAGGGTTTAGGAGTTTAGGATTTAGGGTTCCGGGTTTAGGGTTTTGGTTTATAGGGTTTAGGCGTTTAGGGGTTTATCGGAATTCGGGTTTAGGGTTTAAGGTTGAGGTTTGGGGGTCTCGGGTTTGGGCTTTAGGGTTCAGGGAAGGCTGGGCTCTCTGTGCCACCGGCCTGGATGGCATGCCCCTCGAAGTTGCCTGGGTCGGGGCCCTAAACCCTGAACCCGAAACTTTCGTTAATCCCAGATTATGCGAAATTTGGGGCCCTAATAAACCCCTTCATCTCCAAAAGCTGAAACACCTAGAACCTCCTCAACCCTAAACCCTAAACCCTAAACCTAGAACCCTTAAACCCCAACACCTCAGCTGAAGGTGAGAGGACTTGTGGAGTTGATGTGGTTGGTCACTAGCTGTAAAACCCTAAACCCTAAACCCTAACGGTTTAGGGTTTAGGGTTTAGGGTTTAGGGTTTAGGGTTTAGGGAGATCAACGATTTACGGATGTTTGGGGTTTAGGAGCTGATGGCATTGGAATCTTGAGCGCAAATCAGTTTTACGGATTGGCGCTTAGGATTCACGTAACAGTAGTGCTTACGGTTCAGTGACAAGTCGTGTGGCTTTGGTGGCCATATACCCTAAACCCTAACCCCTAAGCCCTATACCCCAAGCCCTAAACCCCTTAAACCCCTTCAACCCCCTACCCCCTTCAACCCCCTTCAATCCCCTTCAAGCCCCTCAACCCCCTTCAACCCCCTTCAACCCCCTTCAACCCCCTTCAACCCCCTTCAACCCCCTTCAACCCCTTCAACCTAAACCCCTTAAACCCCTTCAACCCCCCCTAAACCCTAAACCCTTCAACCTAAACCTCTTAAACCCCTTAACCCCCCTTAATCCCCTTCGACCCTAAACAACCCTAAGCCCCAAACCCTTCAACCCCCTTGAGCCCTAAACCCCCGAACCTGGGGGCCATGTCCCAAGCCCGAAAACACCAACTGCCGCGCTGGCACTGCCATTGAGCATCGCCACAGCCTTCGGCACGTCCTGCCGAAGCACTGCTACATGCTCAAGGATCCAGGGTTTAGGGCTTAGAGTTTAGGGCTTGGGCCTTAATAACTAGGAACATGCCCGCATAAGAGGGCTCAGAGACGTGCAAGAGTGTAGAATTCTGGAAGATGCCGATGATGATGATGATGATGATGATGATGATCAGTATGATGATGAAGATGATCTAGCCTTTTGTTGTTGGCAGTGGTCCTGGTGCTTTGCACGTCAAGCCATCACCGTAATCCTCGCTGCTGATCGGATGATTCAAGCTTTCATGGTCTTCGTGTTGAAACGACTGAAGACCTTACCTCGAAATATTGTTAGCAGCAGCAGCCGTGTCAGCAGGAGTAGCAACAGTAGTCGTCGTCGTAGTAGTTAGTACTCGTAGTGGTGGTCGTGGTGGTGGTGTTGCGGGCAAGATTAGGGTCCTTCTTTCTTGAACTAGTCGCGAGCCTGTGCTTTTGGCTTAGGAACCCTAAACCCTAAACCCTGAACCCCTAAACCCTAAACCCCTAAACCCTAAACCCCCCCAAACCCGAAACCCTGAACCCGCTTGGGGGCTTCATCTCTGGTCCTCGGGATTCTTGAAAGCTGCTCCGCCCACACCGTTGCGGTTGATCTCAGCGAAGATGCACTCGCCAGCCTTGCTCGCTACTTGCGGCGGTTGCGGAATACCGTGCTTGGGATGCGGTGCTGAATCGAGACCAAAAGACACCAAGTCCAGCCAACACAACCTTGATGTTTGAGGATGACAGCAAAGCCAAAATGAAGACGACACAACGGCAACCGCCACAACGAAAACCACAACAACAGGAAGCCGCAGCGGTGGCAGCAGCCGTGACAGCAATCTGAGTTTAGCATGACGTGAGATTGCACGAGCGCTTGTCAATGTTCATGCAGGTCATGTCATATAATACAGAGAAGTATACTTTGAGATGTTATATAAGATAGCACGGAAATTGCAGTATGTTCACGAATTGTAGGACAAGTACATCCATGCGCTCGCTGATCATATGCGTAGGTGAAAATGCGTGTGCCTCTAGACACGCACGAACCTGCAAAAATCGAGCTATGTATGTGCCAGGTACCAAAGATGTGCGTTCCTCACAAGATACGCATGCACATTGTTATGTCTGTACGGCATCCTGAAACACTCGTGAACGCGCTGTGCATGAGAACAGCATTGGTTTATGTATATACCCATGATACCTATGCTAATATCGTATTAAGACATGTATCTATGTGCTTGCTTACTTGCCTATCCGTGCTTTGTTGTAACTAGCAAAACTTGAGTAAGCTGTATTGCCTAAAAGTCTGTGCATACATGCTTGTACATACCTGGCAGTTTCACCAGGTAGGGAACCTTGCTGGAGACCCTGGGTAGTCGTTTCCTGATCTTTAAGGACCCCCGTTTCTTAAGGACCCCCGAACTTGCCCAGACCCCGAACCCCAAAAAAGGCAAAGGACCTCGACCTTTGAGAAGCCTCAACCCTAAACCCTGAACGCTAAACCCTAAAACCCTGAACCCTGAACCCTAAACCCTAAACCCTAAAGCCTAAACCCTGAACCCCAAACCAAAAACCCTAAACCCTAAACCCTGAAGCCTAAACCCTGAACCCCAAACCAAAAACCCTAAACCCTAAACCCTAAACACTAAACCCCGAACCATGTTTGTAAGATTAAGGCCCCGGGGATGAAAGTCCTTTTCCATGGTTTTGCAAGGCTTATAACGGATCCTTCAATTTAGGGTTTAGGGTTTAGGGTTTAGGGTTTAGGGTTTAGGGTTTAGGGTTTAGGGTTTCGGATCCTTCAAGGCCCAAAGGGTTGCGATCAGGGTTCCCTTGATGGTTGAAGCCAGGGTTCCGTTCGTAACGCTACTATAAGGGACATAAGGTGGTTACAGCGGCTTAAAGGCCGTCGGGATTTACAATTTAGCTTTTCAGCTGCAAGGGATCAGGATTCTGGCTGGAAAAACTCTTCTTTCCCTAAACCCTTAACCCTCCCCGGCCCAGTCGCACCTGTGCCATGTGCTCCTTGAGCTTCCTGAGCGCCACTCGCGCAGGATTTAGCAGCGCGGCCTACATATAGTCCCAAAAGTGCAAACCCCACGCCAATCTCTACGGTTCAATGTGGGGAATCTGACAGGCGTAATGCAAGGCCCTTACCAGTTATAATCGGGCTTCCCCGTACGTTTTTGCTATACTTATGTAGGGACTGCAAGGAGACATTGTTGCTACTAATTCTGAAAGCCATGTTACGGGATCCTATACCAAGCTCGGCTAGCAAAAAGTGGTGGAAGGCCCAACTTTCAGGAAGCGAGCTCTCTAGGCCTCAAGCCCTAAACGCAAGGACGGGGCCTAAATTCTAGACCCTAAAGCAACAAGCCCAAAACCCTAAAGCCCCAGCCCCGAAACCCTAAAGCCCTAAACCCTAAAACCCTAAACCCAAAGCTAAAACGGGCCCTGCGTCTTGTTCTTCTCCACATCCCGCTCCCCCTCCGGCAGGCCCCCGATCCACACCTTCCTGAGGATGCGGGCAACTTCCTTTATCAGGTTTTAGGGTTAGGGTTTAGGGGTTTAGGGTTTAGGGTTTTAGGGTTTAAGGTTTTAGGGTTTTAAGGTTTAAAGTTCAGCTTTTAGGGTGACTAGAAGCATTCGGAGGTCTCCTTTAGGGGGTGTAGGGTTCTAGGGCTACTATAAGGGGGACAGGGCTGTGGGCTCTTTAAAAAAGGTACCCTTTCAGGGTTTCTTTGAGGGTACTGCAGGGTTTTAGGGTGTTAGGGTTTCAGGGTTTAGAGCTGCGGGCTTCGGTTTGAGAGATCGTCGGGGATGTTCTGAGGATGGAGGATGGGGCAGCTCTTCCACCAGGGGATCCTACGAGTGATGGCGAGGCTTCAGGATAAAGCGTTGTTGTGCGGCTTCTGGGGTTCATTTTTGGGGTTTAGGGTTTCGGGTTTAGGGTTGGGGTTTAGGGGGGAAGACATCAAGGTTTTTATGTTCCAAGGGCAAAGAAGCTTCTGAGATCTGAACGGCGGAGTGCCTGTGTGCCTGCCCACAGTTAGAGTTAAGGCAGCAAGACGTGCTTATGCCGATCCTGCTCAGATCGACCAGCCAACGTTCATGTAGTGAAGTCAATATGTCACACCTCTAGAAACCCTAAACCCTAAACCCTAAACCCTGAAAACCCTCAA